TTGGATGCATGACAAGGTATGGCTGGCCTTGCTGGCTGCGGTCTGGCATTGGCGGTTCATGTTCATCTTGGAGTCAATGATGACTCCAAGATTCCTTTCCGCCTCTGTGCTTTCAAGAGGGGAACTCCCTAACCTGTACGTATGCTGTGGACTCCTTCTCCCAAGGTGCAGCACCCTGCACATCTAGATGCCCTTTTCACCCCAGGCGCAGATGGCAGCCTAGGCCTGACAGCAGGTCAAAGACTGCTCTTCGGGTTCCCGTTGCTGACATTACATTTTAGGAACCTAGACCCTATATCTTTGTTCCGGGCGGGCACAACCCTCAGACCAACCACAACACCTGCCAGTTGATAATAGCAAATTTATTGATAGAGTGATAACAAAAAAGCAACAATACAAACAATCAAACAATTCTATATCTACCAATCCTAGGGCTGTCATCAGAGTCAAAGTACATCTGGTCAGGACGCAGTCTTCACTCTGAGGCTCATTCTCTTAGGTGTCAGATGTCAACAGTCTGGAGGTGAGATGCCGAGGCTGACAGTGGGGTGCATGAGAGCGGTATGCCCTTGGTCCGTGGTGGCCTCAGGGACCCTTCCCAGGGACAGGGATGGGGACCCCTCTCGGGGAGAAGGAGGAGGGACAGCAAGGAGGGACAAGAAGGAACAGGGAGAGATGGGAGGGACACTTTGTTAATCTAAAGTCTCTACTTTTGCATTCTCCTTCAGCTTTGATGACTCCTGATGACCCTTCATCCATGGCTATCTCTGGTTGGTTGTCTCTCTGTGGTCACATGTCCACATAGCCTTCTGAGCCTTCTCCTAATTTGATCTGTTCCCCCAAAAACAGAACTTAGGCCCCCCTGCTCTCTGAGGCCTTGTGGCTGGTATCACTTATCTTGTGTTATGGAACAGTATGGTACATACTTCTTTGGTTCCCAGGCTGGGTGTCCTTGTTGTGACAGGCACCATCTGCCTTGAAGGCTGTGATCTTGTGTTATGGCATGCCCCACTTAATTCTCAGGCTGCATCCATCCATTGGCCTTGTTGTGTTAGACAGCGCATCTGCTTTCAGGGCCATGAGAAGCTGTGCATGCATCTCCCAAGCTGTTTAGAAATCCATTTATGCCCTGCTGCCCATCTTGGCCCCTTATAATACATATAAGCCAATTCCCATAAATCAGGCCTTTAAATACCATTTCTAAACCACTACCCATGACTAGGGCTTGGTTTAAACTGTGGGCCCAGCTTACAGAGCAGCAGCTCCTTTAATTTTGGAGTTCCCCCACATGACCCCCTCCACCGCTGTTTGGCAGAGGGACCCATCAGCCTCAGTGCTCATTCCTGATGGCTGGCAGATGAAAAGCTTGGTTTTAAGTATGCTGTGGTTTTTGTCATGACCCAAAAGGCATGATTGTGTGTGCGCTTCGGCACCAGAATTATCCCCGTCAAGTTGCAGAGCATTGCACGGGAGAGTTTCCTGTAGCAGAGGAAACCCCGGTGCAGGGACGAGTTTCCCGCCTTTTCTGCAGCTTCTTTTGCAGAGTGCATTGCTCGAATTGCAAGAGGAATGCACGGTGCAAAACAGTTCCCGCCACCGGTATGCAAATTTGTTCCCCGTGATTGGCTAGTGCTAAATTATTCACACATGGCAGCTAACGATTGGCCTGTTAGCCGTATAAAAGACTTGAGCGGTTTCCGCCCAAGCCGAAGAGGACTCCACATCCATCTCGTGGGGACTCTGGGTACACGGCAGGGTAATAGAAACCCTATGAGAGATCCAGAGGAGCGTGGCGGCCTGATCCACCGCCCAC